AAATCTTCTGAGATAGGCACAATGTATTTTCCATTTTACAGTAATCTTCTGATTACAATGACTAGCACATAATAAACATTGAATAAATGACAGTGGTTACTATAAACCTTTTAATAATATAGTATGTAAGAAAAATAAGACCACCTTGACATTCAGAATACTCTAGGCTTGAATCAAACTTTGCCACTTATTATGATCCTTAAAGCAAAGTAATCCAACATTTTATATTACAGTTTTCTTATATTTAAAATGAGGATAATTTATGTCTAACAGGGTTTATATAAGGATTAAAAATGTAAGTCAGATCATGTATATGAAGTGCTTAGCATGGTGCCAGATTCATTGGGAGACTTCAGTGAATGCTATTAGTCATGTCAATTAGACAACCATGTCAGTTATCTCTTAAAGGGGGTTCCCTAGAAGCTACAAGTCATGAAACTACCGTATAGTCAGGTAGCAGGTGAACATGTATCAATTACAATATTTTTTTCTGTTCATGACATCTCTTTTTTCATAATAGTAAATTATATCTAAATAGAATAATATAAAAATGTAATGCAGGAAAGCCTTATTTTTCGATACCCAATGAAATCTTCTCTCACCTATTTCCACACTCAAGTAAAATGAAGGAGCCCACTATTTACCCATGCCATCTTCTCTCACCACACCCACACTTTCTGCTCTATCTTGCTTATTTCTTCACTTGCCTGTCAAGATGCTCGGGTTCTAGAAAACAAAGACAGAGTCATGGTTCTTTTATTAACCATTAAAGACACAATACCAAAATATCATAACTATACAAAATAAATGGCTGACCAAGGGAAGAGTAAATGTTATTAATGCAATGGATTTGCCTAATTCAGATTATATTTATTAAGAAAATTTTAACTTCAAAAGTATAATATATTCCTTTTGTGAGCCGACCAATTAATTTATGTAAGTTTGTGGTTAATCAAATACATTTTCTTATATTTGGAAATTCTTTCTGGTATTCCTATGAATACCTAGTTTCATTATACAAGTATCATTATACTTGTGGAAAAATAAGAATGTCAGAGACTCCTGGGATATGCAACATCTCTTCTTCCCTCTTCTTGGGCACAGAGCTGGTCTATAACCATCAACCTCCCTTGTAGTTAGGTGTGGCAATTTGAATGAATTCTGATGAATAGAATATGATGGGTACTATTTTTAGGCAAAGCTCATACTCTATTATGCTCTATTCAGCCCCACCTGGATGAATATAAACAGCTGGGAAGCCCTGTGGGTGGTGGAGCCTTTAGATCAAAGAAGGTTGGGCCTCTGCATGATGGGAAAGGAAGCCACACTATAAACTTAAATACTAAACCTGGTTTCTGACTATAGCATTAAATAATATTTTATTGTCCTGAGTCATTATATGTTTTTGTATACTAAAAGAAGTTGACCTATTATCACTAATACTAGTGACCTGGTGCATGAAATTCATGCACAGAAGGGGCATTTCCCTTAGCTCATGCTGCATTCTCTCCAATCACACATCCCTCTTGCAGTCTGGAACCTCTGGCTCCTAATTGCTCACCTATGTGCTTGCCTAATTGTCCCTTACTGCCTCTGCCTGCCTGCTCACCCCTAACTGCCCTCCCTTGCTGGCCTGATCTCATCCCCAACTTCCCTCCCCTGCCAGCCTGGTTGCCCCCAACTGCCCTCCTCTGCTGGCCAATTTGGTTCTAATTGGTCAGTTTCTATGCCAGTCAGCATCAAAATCTCTGCCTCGTAGGCAGCCATTGGCTCCTCACAGTTGACCCAAATTTAGTTCCGATTGTTCAGTTTATATGCCATTCAGTGTCTCTGGGCCTATCAACAGGGCCTGATCAGAAAGGCAGGGCTAATCAGCAGCCCTGGTTGAGTCCTGGAGACAAATGATGCAGGGATGCTGGCCAGGCTTGAAGAGAAAAAGAGAGGCAAGTGCTGGTCAAAAGCTGCCTCAGATACTAAAGATCAACCCTTGCTTCTCTCTTCAGATCTTTCCAGGCCTGATTTAAAGCCCCCTCAGCAGTCACTGCTGGGTCACTGGACCTGCAGCAGCAGTTGTCAGTGCTGGGTCACCATGGCAATCCAGTGCTGACTTCCATGGTCAACCTTTGGTCACGATCAGTAGTTACACCCTAGCTCTTTATTATAGAGATAATAAAAATGATAAAAATCAATATTAAATAATAGGATGAATATCTAGAAATGCTAGCATTTGCAAATGTTATCTGACCTGTTTCATGGTAGTTATTTATGAAAAAAGAGGGGAGTTCACCTCCAGCTGTCTGTCAAATGCTAACTTATATACTTAGATCCTTAGATCCTTAGTGCTTGAAAATAAATAAGTGGGAATAAAATTTCAGTTAAAAATAGAATGTAAGTAAAGTTTTCAGTTTCCTTCTGAAATCATTACCTCAAAATAGACTCATAATTCATTAGATACTTTCTATGATATATTTTGGCTTTTTAAAATGATGATCAGAGACAGCAGGATGCAACAGTTAAGAGAACAGGCTTTGGAAACAAAACACCTGGTTCTGTAATGAAGTGGCTACGTGATGTTGGCAAATTACTTTTCCTCTCTATGACTTATTTTCCTCATCCCTTCAAGAGCATAATAATGGTATCTACTTCCATATAAGGACTAAGTGAATTAATATTTATAAAATGTTTGAAAAAAATTCAACTCATAGTTATCACTATATGTGTACAATAGCCTGTGTATAATTTAAATGTTATCTAATTTATCCTTTAAGAAGAAATTAAACTTTTTTAATTAAAACGGAAATACAAATCTAAGATCTTTTTAAGCTTGACTTGTTTTTATACCTAATCACCTATGATTTATTTCTCTGCTCCTCAATTAGACTTTCATAGATGACTCAGTTAACCTATGCTTACACATTTGCCCAACATCCTGTCTTTCTTTAGTGACCTTCCTTCTCTCTCTTTAACCAATACTTACTTACCTGTACTACATTGACCAATTTGGATCTATTAGTTTTCCAGGGCTCTCCTAGCAAGGTGGTGGCTCAAAACAACATGAATGTATTTTCTCACGATTCTGGAGACTGGAAGACTGAAATCAAAGTGTTTGAAAAGCCATTCTTCCTCTCAAGGGTCTTTGGGAGAATCCTTCCTTGTCTCTAACTAACTTCCACTGGTTGCCAGCTATCCTTGCATCCATCTGTGTATAGCCTTCTCCTCTTGTCCAAATTTCCCATAAGTATAAGGACACCAGTCATTGGATTGAGGCCCAGGTAATCCACTCTGACCACATCTTAACTTGATCGCTTCAGCAAAGATCCTATTTTCAAATAAAGTTACATTCTCAGACATGGGATTAGGTTTTAAATGTATTTTTGGAAGATAAAATTCAACCCACAACAGGATTTTCTGGACCTAAAAATATTCTCTTTTCCCTCCAACCCACCGTGATTACTTATTTTCTATTTCATTTATTTGACAGACTAGAGGCCCAGTGCAAAAGATTCATGGTAGGGTCCCTAGGCCTGGCTGGCAATCAAGGCCGATCAGGGCCTTTTGGCTGCCAGCCAGGGCCTCCCTTCCCTGGCTGCTGGCCACTGGCCAAGGTTTCCCCTTTCCAACTGCCGGCCACTGACCAGGGCCTCCTGTCATTCTGCATCACCCCCCTGGTGGTTAGTGTATATCATAGAGAGCACTCAAACTCCTAGTCCCCTGGTCCAACTCCCAAGGGGACAGTTTGCATATTAGGATTTTATATAATAGATAATATAAATACACTTTCTGACTTTACAAAGGAATTATGAATCTATATATTTTCTGACAAATCCTATATAATGAAAGGCTAATATATAAATTGTCCCCCTAACTGGGAGTTCAATCAGGTGGCAGGACGGGTCAGCCAACCACCTGTGGCCCTTCTCCCTTATTGCCTCCCCCTGCCTATTGGCCCTGATAGGGGTGGGCTGGCCAGACCTCAGCCATGCACGAATCTGTGCACTGGGCCTCTAGTTATATTATAAACACCTAAGGGTTGTCACAAATGACAGTATTTCATCTTTTTTTTGGCTGAGTAGTATTTCATTGTGTGCATATACTATATACTTATCCAATCATCCATGGAAGGACACTTTGGCTGTTTCTACTTCTTTGCCAGGGTGAAGGATGATTTCACTCATGTGAGATATAATACTGAAAGCAACAAATGAACAAGCAAGACAAAAAAACAAAAACTCATAGACACAGACAGCAGTATGGTGGTTAACAGAGGGAAAAGGGACAGAGGGAAGTAGTAAAGGGGGCAAAACATATGGTGACAAAAGGAGATTTTACTTTGGATGGTAAAAGCACAATACAATATGCAGATTATGTATTATAAAATTATACAGGTAAAAATCTATATAATTTTATTTATCAATGTCACCCCATAAATTTAATTTTTTTTTTAAAAAAAAGCATTAATCCAAAAAGAAAAAAAAACTAAGTGTAAGGACCATGGGCCATGATAACGTTTTGTGTGCACTTGTATACTTTTCTATAGGATAATATAATGCATATAGTAATTAATGTATTAATGAATAAATGAAGTAATATAGAGCTAGTAATTAAAAATTATTGTAGGGAACAAGTGATATAAATGTACATGATTAAAACATGTAATTTTTAACTTATGGAATGCTTTTGACTGGTTGTATTATAAATTCACAAATTTAATTAAATTACATATAAGATATGAAAATATTCCAATATAGATTCATCAGCTATATTCCCTACTTTTGAAGTAAGAGATTCTATTTTGTTTTGCAACTACAAAGAAGTTTTTACATTATAAACAAGAATAACATAAGTATGGGATCTGAATGCTCTAGTACTAACTTTTCTTAGAAAAAAACATTGTATTGCCTTAAACTATTTAATAGTCAAAATCCCCAATGACTAATGGAAAATAGTAGGAATTCACCTCAATTATATAAAAATAATGTTTTCAATTTACATTTTCACAGATGATAATGAGTGTGGAAATTTAACCCAGTCCTGTGGAGAAAATGCTAACTGCACTAACACAGAGGGAAGTTACTATTGTATGTGTGCACCTGGTTTTCGATCCAGCAGTAACCAAGTCAGATTTATCACTAATGATGGAACCAAATGCATAGGTAAGTCAACTGTCTCACTCAAAATTTTATCTATCTTAATGCTTATTACCTCCATAGATGAAGTCATTTTTAAACAAATTTTGCAAATCCTTGTTTATATTCTAGTAGTTAAATGCTTTCAGACACTTCATTAATTCCTTTATTTCTCTACTGTTGTTTGATCAGTTACTATGGAACATTTATTTGAGAATATAAGAAAAATATTTTTTTGAGACAAATCAAATAGTTTGCAAAACAAAACTTATGAACTATGGTGACAAACAACAGAATAACTACTTGCATTTTAAAGTCCTAACTCAAGAAAATAATGATTTGCATCACAATATACCAATGCTTTTATAAATATTCTGAAAAAGAGTCTATATTTTCTTAGAATAGGTTCAGATAGACATTACTTATGAAAGAATTGTTACAGTGTTTTACTATTTCCTTCAAAAAGTTAGTCACACTTAAGATTTGTAGTAAGGTTTTCTGAACAATAGAGTCCTATTTATTGTAGAAGAGCATTTCCATTTCACTAAAATGTCCTCTGGGAGGATAATAATTTCAATTCAATCCTGAAGTGAAATATGATCCTGAGTTTGAAGAGTATCTAGGAGATGCTTTTAAATATCCTACTATAATTTGGTTATGCATTTGATTTATCCGATTCTATAGAGTTTGAATTACAGTCTGAGAAGAAAAGGTTATTTAGAACCTTCAAAAGATGAAGTTTCTTTTTTTTTTCTTTTTAAATATATTTTATTGATTTTTTTACAGAGAGAAAGGGAGAGGGATAGAGAGCTAGAAACATTGATGACGAGAGAAACATCGACCAGCTGCCTCCTGCACACCCCCCACTGAGGATGTGCCCACAACCAATGTACATTGACTGGAATCGAACCTGGGACCTTTCAGTCCGCAGATCAAAGCTCTATCCACTGAGCCAAACCAGTTTTGGCGATGAACAGTTTCTATAGGAAAATTTTCTGAAGTGAAAGACTTGAACTTTGAAAGTAAATTATAAATCATCTTATTCATGTTTTCTAAACAGTGTCTAGTTTCCCAACAACTTGTATAATTAATTATGATTGATAATTGTCTATAAGATTAATAGGTGAACTGAGGCCCTAAGAATTAAATCACATAGTGAGGGATAAATCATATATATATATATATATATATATATATATATATATATATATATGACTAGAATTCTGGACTTTCTATGCATCATGGACAGGATTAGTGTGCTGCTTCTACTTTACATGCTTAAAAGAGAGATTCATGTTAATCTAGGTTGAATTAAGACCTTTGATTAGTTCCTTAGTGAAAGCCTCATCAGTAAGCTAAGTAGAATTCTGGCAGTGTTATATTAACATGATGAACTAGGAGATAATATTCAAAGAAAATTTATCAGTTAAACGTCTTTATCAAAGAAATTGTGATATCTCATGTACTTGTGGTTCATAACATTTACTTTGCTATGTAAACAGGAAAGATTTTACTCTCCTCATTTTATTTTATTTTTAATTTTTTAAAAAAATATTTTATTGATTTTGTACAGAGAGGAAGGGAGAGAGATAGAGAGCTAGAAATATCAATGAGAGAGAGTCATCGAACAGCTGCCTCTTGCACATCCCCAACTGGGGATATGCCCGCAACCAAGGTATTGAACCCGGGTCCTTTCAGTCCCCAAGCCGACGCTCTATCCATTGAGCCAAACTGGTTTCGGCATACTCTCCTCATTTTATAGCCAAAGAGAATATAGGACTACACTCAATTCATTTAGGATAAAGGGAGAATTAGATCAGTCTTATATCTAGAAAATCAGTTATTTCTATGAAACTGAAGTGAATGGGTCATTAAATTCTCATACATTGATGTGAATCATGCAAATGCAGTGGGTCAAGCTTTGCAAAGGCATAAGGGATTTAAGATATGAGAAAATAATACTATTTTGTTGAATGATAATTTTATCTTTAGTGTTTGTAGATTCTTTTTTGGAATGCAGATTTACCATTATTAAGGAAATAGAGACCCAATGCATGAAGACTCGTGCAAAATGGGTCTTCTTTCCCCTGGCTACTGGCACCACCTTAGCTCTGGCCTGGAGCTGCCTTTCCGTCTTCCCACACTGCCCTGAGGTCCAGAGCAGCTGGGGCTGTGTGAAATGCCTATGCAGTCATCATGGCAATGAAGCAAGCATCCCACCCCCAGCCACTGGCACCTGCATATGCAAATAAACCCGCCATATTTGTTGGGTTAATTTGCATATGTACCCCAGATTGGCTGGTGGGTGTCGCAAAGGTATGGTCAATTTGCATATTTCTCATTTATTAGTGTAGATAGGATAATTATGAAGTTCTAAGCAGAAAACTTATAGTACTTCACTCTTTATTCTTCTTGAGCCTACACTCTTGTTGCTGGTCTTCTTAGAATGTTATTTAATGTGAGTATTTTACCTTTTGTAGTTAAATTCTTATTTTCTAGGTCTGTAAGCTTTAGTATAAATGTTCCAGTAAGTGAAAAAATCTAACTTGTAACATCTTAATCATTGTATTTAATAGTTTTAACTGTGCACTTCATTCCTTCTCGTCTCTAGAAGACATCTTGCATTTTCATCTGATCATGTTTATTTTAATATACATCAGTTCACAAAGGGCTATATACCTCTGTGTTCTTTATAAGTATAGAATTTCTATATTAAGAAAAAAAAGTGAATCACAGATACAGAGAAAACACACACACACAAATTATTTTATTCCAACATCATTTGGCAGTATAATACATTTGTAACTTAAAACTATTTCTTCTGCTCTAGCTGGTTTGGCTCAATGGATAGAGCATCAGCCTGAGGACTGAAGGGTCTAGGGTTCGATTCCAGTCAAGGGCACATGCCAGGGTTGCAAGCTTGATCCCCAGTAAAGGATGTGCAGGAGGTAGCCAATGGATGATTCTCTCTCATCATTGATATTTCTATCTCCTCCCTCTTCCTTCCTCTCTGAAATCAATATAAACATATATATATTGATTTATTATTAAGATACTGTGGAATGGCCCTAATTTTTTGTTAATTCCATTTTTTGCTATCTTAAGTAATCAGTAAACACAACAATTATATGAAAGCCCAATACCCAGTACTGTGTTCTTCAGTTTCTACTTGTTTTGTTTGATGGATTATTCAGTAAAGAACTCATTCTCTGGAAAATTGTTACTTTTCACCAAACTTGTTGTTCTTAAGGATTAAATTTTTTTGAGAAACAGAGTAACCATTTCGTTTTTCTACTCTTGTAATAAAATCCTCAGGGCATTTGAACAGAGAACCATAATCGTATTCCTTTTATACATTATTATATCACCTTATACTGTGTTGTCTCTAATTGAAAGTTTTGCTGATTGTTAAATTTGACATGTCTGATAATTATTGTCATTAAGAATCTCTATAAATAGATAATGAAAAACTACAATTCAGGGCAAAAATGACCCAAGCAAAATTTTTTACTTTTATTCTATATTTAAATACTATTTAACACAAGGTGATTTTGTTACAGAAGGCTTTGAGCAAGATTTAGCATCATGCAGAATTTTCTTCACCTTGGAATCACTGTAAAGCAAAAGCTAATTAGCCCAGCTTCCCAGAGACCCAGTTACAGACTTGCATTTCACAAATGCGGATACTGTGGCATCCACTAGTAAAGTGACTCTCCCACTCCCAAGACCAAATGAGTGGAACCTAAGGATGCCTTCATGTTCATAATAGTGCTTAAGAGCTGTATTTGCTGCTTGTAATTTTTTAAAAAAATAGATTTTATTGATTTTTTATAGAGAGGAAGGAAGAGAGATTGAGAGCTAAAAACATCAATGAGAGAGAAACATCGACCAGCTGCCTCTTGCACACCCTCTACCGGGATGTGCCCACAACCAATGTACATGCCCCTGACCAGAATCGAACCTGGGACCTTTCAGTCCGCAAACCGACGCTCTACCACTGAGCCAAACCAGTTTCGGCTACTGCTTGTAATTTTTAATGTCCTGTTTCCATGGATAATCTGATAGTTTCAGATTTTTTTCTCATTTTGAATAATATTAACATCCAATTTTGTCTCTGTAGGTTACTTATAGTAATTGAACATTGTATCTTTTCTTTGAAGTCTATGAGTTAAACAACTTTAGAAAATTCACCTATTGATGATACTTATAAGAATCAAAACAATTAAATGATCATGTTTTGAGAGGAAATTCTGATAATATTCTGGGTGACTTATTGTAGACATAAAAAATATAACCTTATTACTGAAAAGATAAGAAATGAATTTTTGATGTGCAAAACAAGAACATGGTTTTTTTGATGTGCCTACATTTGGAGAAATCAAGGTGGCATTAATAAGCCAAGAGTTAGGTTGGTAGTGGAAAAGTGGATCAATTCTTCAATATGGTATGTCAATTATAGCCTAACTGAAATAATTACATAGTACAATTTTGCTTTAATTAAGAAGGGGAGGGAGTTCCTTTTCTCTCTTTTATAGCTTTGGGAAGTTCCAAGACAGAGCAATATAATGAGACATTCGTTATCAATCTGTTTTCTCTAAACCAGCATGTTCATAGGGCTCCTAATATTAAGAAAAAAAAAAGCATAATGGGATTTCTGGATCTGATTTCTAACTACAATATCTATTACATCTTTGACACCACTCCAAACACCTTCGTATACATTTCCTCATTTGTTATGAAAAATAACTATTTGGAGATAAAAGCTATTTTATAGTATTACCCAGGGTACCAAAATTAATGAATAACATAGAGGTAGGGAGAATCCATTGTTGTTTTAGTAGGTCCAAGCCAATTATGTCCTGCAAAAAATTGCAAGAGAAGTTAGTGTGGATCTCACTGCAGATTGGCAGTCATACTCATTTTGGCTAATCTAGTTTCATCCTATTTCAGCATGGGATAGTCTTTCAATATTTTATGATTCTCTTTATATTGCTGGGTAACAAAGGGGCATAGAATGATAAGCTGAGGATAGTGGAAGAACATAGCCAGTTGTGGTAGCCAATAAATTACTGAGGCCCTGAGTGAAAAGGATATTAAATTCAAAGTACAAGAGGGCAAATAAAAATTGAGTTTGTACAGCCAAGATTTATATGTCGCTCAGAGATTGGATGTGGGGTGAAGTTCCCAAGGAATGTTGCACCTTTGAATAACTTTGAAATTGAGAGAATCAACACCATGTTTTCTAATAACCCATAAAAAGCATTTAAAAGTATGAAACATGGGTAATCAAAAACATAGCTTTCTGCCTGTTCTGTGTGACTCAGTTGGCTGAGTGTCATCCCATGCATCTATAGGTTTTTGTTCAATTCCCCATCAGGGCACATGTCCTAGTTTTGGGCTTGATCGCTAGTATGGGGCACACTGGAGGCAGCTGGTCTATGTACCTTCCTCATTGATGTTTCTATCTCCCTCTCCCTCTCCCTTGCTCTCTCTCTAAAACTCAATTTAAAAAAAAATCTTATAAACAAAACATAGCTTTCTTATTTGTGGAAGAAATTGTTCTATTCATAATACTTCATGGATGAGTTCACACTTTCTTTGGAGTGTTTCCCCCACTGGGTTACAGTTCATGCTACTTCTTCAGCACTGTTTCTAAAAGGACTAGTCTTTTGTTTTCTCATACTTTTTTTTTTAATCACTTTATTGATTTCATGAAAAAATAATAACCCTAGTTTGCACTTCTACCGGGTCTTTCTCTTCAACTCAACTTGGAATGCTTTTCCTGATGGTTCTACAGATTCCAAGAGTCAACCTGCTATAACTCATCCCCTACTTTAGTTTGTCTCCTCTTCCCCCCCCCCCCTTTTTTTTTTGAGTGGCAATTTCTGAACACATACCCTACCTAATAAAATAGTAATATGCAAATTAACCATCACTCTGCTACACTCACCAGCCACACCCACCAGCTAATCAGAGTGAGTATACAAATAAACCCACCCAAGATGGCCAAAGCCACAGAGAGCAGGAGGAGACTTGGGTTTCCCAGGCAATAGAGATAGCCAAGCTTTCTGCCTGTCCTGGCTGGCTTAGACCTCCACTCAAGGCTATAAAGCTTCAATTATAGAAGGAAACAAATTCCGGGGCAAGCAGGAGGCTTGGCTCCACTCCAGGCTACAAAGTTTCAATTGTAGAAGATAAATAAAATCCAAATACCAGGGCCTCCACTTGAGTCACCAGGGGGCATGGCTGGCCTGCAAACCACCACGAGCCCTTTACTCAGGCCACCCTATGCCTCAAGGGAACCCCCACCCTGACCCTGGACACCCTTCAGGGCAAACCAGCTGGCCCCTACCCATGCACTAGGCCTTTATCCTAGCTCATAAAAGTAATATGCAGATTGACCATCACTCCAACACACAAGATCAAGATAGCTGCCCCCATGTGGTCAAAGATCCTGCCCCCATGTGGACACAAGGTGAGCACCACAAGATGGCCAGCAGGGGAGGGCAGTTGGGAGGTACCAGGCCTACAAGGAAGGGCAGTTGGAGGCAATCAACCCTGCAGCGGATGGCAGTTAGGGGTCACCAGGCCAGCAGAGGAGGGAAGTTGGGGGCAAACAGGATGGCAGGGGAGCAGTTAGATATCAATCAGGCTGGCATGGGATAGGTTAGGGGATGATCAGGCTCACAGGCAGAAGTGGTAAGGGGCAATCAGGAAGGCAGGCAGGCGAGCAGTTGGTAGCCAGCAGTCCTGGATTGTGAGTGGGATGTCCCAGATTGGAGAGGGTGCAGGCTGGGCTGATGGACATCTCCCCATATACAATTTCATGCACCGGGCCTCTAGTATAGAAATAAGAGGAAGAGGGTGAGGATGTTAGAGCAGTCCTATTTCTTTAAAAGTATTGTACTTGGATTTTGGGATAGTACAGATCACGAATGCACAGATTGGCAGAAGAACATGGGATTTTCTACCTTTTTTTCAGACCTGTTAATTGTCTTCTTAAATCTAGTATTATTGTGGGATCCCCTTTCACATCCCATGTGGTTCAGGGTTCCAGTTCAGGGTTAGGTTCTGGAGAAGGGCCACACAAATGAAAAGAGACTAGAAAAAATTTAATTTGGCGATATGGAGGGCCAGGTGGTAGAACTACACACTGCTCTGGCCCTGATATCTCTTTTATTGAGGTTATGGAGAAACACCCATAGCCCTTAGGCAGGAAATAACAGAAATTTACATAAGACAAACAGAGGTGGAGGCTGCTTCAGCTAACAATGTCTCAATTAAACAGTGAATGGTTAGAACAATTAAGGCTGTTGACCAGCCTTCTTGGCTTCCTGTCCACATCTCTCTATTAGTGAAACAGTAATTGACTTCCAGCATATCATCACTTTTTATAGCTAATAGAATTTTCTTCAATAATCTGATAAGACATCTATTATTAGTTTCAGTTTTGTGTGGTGTGAGTTTATATTGAGTGAGTTAATATTTTTCTGTAGCTTTATTGCCTTTTTAAAGTGAAAAATTAGTATCAGCTACATTTAAGATAACTAAATGACATTTTAATGAACTTCAATTACTTTCCTTTTTTATGACAAACAGTATTATACTGCTCTATTAGTTTTATTTAGTAAATTGTATACTTAAGACTACAGGTTTATTCATTAATCTAACATAGAGTAGTTCTAAGATGTCAGAGCTAGGCTGGAAACACAAAAAAACTTTTGCATTAGTTTAAGGTAACAATCTGGACTTCACTTCCTTGGACTCATTCTCTATTGGAACCCTGCCTACTGTTTTTTTTTTTTTTATTGTATTTATATTGTATTTATTACTTTAAGATTTATTTCACTATAGTATGTAAAAAAAATTTAAATTAGGAATATAAATTATGTGAACTTAAAACCTATCATTTTTCTTGTGGCTTTGATATATAGCTACTGAAAAATCAAAGACTTAATTCTGTACAATTTGTTACTTTATCTACATTGGGTATGTATTAAGAATCATAATATAATATATCCTGAACAAAAATAACATTTGTGGTAAAATTTTAAGGGAGTCGAATCACACATTTGCTACATATTAATTTTTGGGATAATTTGCATGTGGAAATGGAGCCTTGGAAAGAAAGTGGACTATTTTATTTTATCCTCCAGAGGTATTTAAGCTGAGTTGTTAAAATTAATTAAGTTTAATATTAGAAAGCCAAGTATTTTTAAAATTGGGTTTTTATTAAATTAGGACTAAATATTACACAGTCAATGATGAAATTAATGACTTTGTTGATGAATCATGCCATTCAGAAAACAGTTCAAGAGTTTGGCCCATGAATAAAATTTTCAATACACTGTCAAAATCCATGGGCTAAATCAAGGTTAAACAAATTTATGAGGCTAAGTTAGCTTTGTCATTTTTCTAAATGATGGGATTTTCCTTGCATTTTTATAAAATTTGTTATGAAATTACTAACTACACATAATAATACCAGCAATGTAGCATCTATATGAGTACTAAATTAAAAAGTTGTTTTTCCCTCAAATATTTCCAGATATAGATGAATGCAGTGAATCAGTGGTCTGTGGTGATCATGCAGTATGTGAAAATGTGGATGGCGGGTACAACTGCTCCTGCAAGGAAGGTTATCAGACATCCACAGGAAAAGAAAAGTTCACACCTAATGATGGCACTTACTGCCAAGGTAAATTATCAAATAACTATGTAAAATATATACGACACAGTTGTAAAGGGTCAAAGAACTATGCCTTCCAAGAAACATTCCAGTATTCACTTGCTTATAAAGTGAAATTTAAATATATATATATATATATATATATATATATATATATATATATATATATTTTTTTTTTTTTTTTTCTTTATAGAAGATATAGATCACATGTTTGATATAGTTAAATAAATCATATTCCTTAGGGCCGTGGTTGGCAAACTATGGCTTGTGAACTACATGCGGCTCTTTGGCCCCTTGAGTGTGGCTCTTCCACAAAATACCGTAGCCTGGGCAAGTCTATTTTGAAGAAGTGGCATTATAGAATAAGTTTAAGTTTAAAAAATTTGGCTCTCAAAAGAAATTTCAATCGTTGTACTATTGATATTTGGCTCTGTTGACTAATAAGTTTGCTGACCACTGCCTTAAAGTAACTAAAATCTTCCATTTTCCACAAAATAGAATGTATTTATGAATAAAATGAATAAATTTTGTTATGGATAATTTTTAAATGAATGAATAATAAAAAAATAAAAATAATAGAACTTTAATAAATAAAAATTGAAAATGAAATTTGTGTTAAAAATGTGTTTTTACATATCTCTGTACATATGTATAGAGATAATAATTTAATAAAAAAATTTAAAAAATGATGTGTTTTTAATGTTTAAATAAGTAAGCAAAATTATTAGAATCAATGTAATCATCTTAGGAAAAACATTTTAAAACTTACTATATGATCCATTTTCTTCTACAGAAAATGTGAATGCAGACTGCTATTTAGATAATGCCTGTATTGCTGCAAATGTTGATAAAATTTTGACAAAAGTAAGTAGACTAGTTGAATTAAAATTTTATTTTTATTTGATATTTTTATTTTAGTTAAAATGTTTTCAATGCCACATTTTAAAAAGTGTAACATGAAGAGTTGAAACCATTTAAATATAGAGTTCTAAGAATTCCTAGTCACAGGTGGGATTAATTTGAAAATGGCCAAAGTTTTGAAGAAGACTTACATATTTATCTTATGCTACTTTTCACTATTCAATATAATCAAAAATTCTTTTCAATATGTAAAGAAAGTTGATGAACAAAATAGAAAAAAACATACTTTGATGTCAGACCCATTCTCACATTCTAAGGAGTTATTGATGAATGAATCTAGATTTTGCTCTATTTAGCAAATATTTTAGAAAGTAGGGCATCTATAAAATTATTATCATGTGATTGAAAGTGTGACTCTCAACAAGACTAATTTAACAATCAGCTAAAGCAATTTCCATTTATTGCGTTGTAAAGAATTTTCTGCGGTTGATTACAATCTAATTCAAATTACGTTATAAGTATTATGATTTTAAAAAGATGATTTTAAAAATTACCAATTCAAACATCTATTCTTTTTATGAAGTAAATTTTATGTTTTTTAAGTTATTTGGAGAGGTTTTGTAAATAATTTGTAAATAATTTTGTGTTGAAGTGCTGCATGTTATAATTTGGGTTTGGTAACATTAATATATTATAGGACAAGAAAACCAAATTCAGAATAAATTTAACATGCAACCTTTATTCTTGGAAAGATCCACTAGTACTCTAATTTGGTTTCATTTTTCGGGACTTATTTTTGTTCAGATTAGAAACATAGGCCAACTTGTGGCTTTACTACAAGATGTCTATAGGAATTCTGTGAAACATCTTTCACCAGTGGATATAACTACATACATAGAAATATTAGAATCATCACCATTCCTTGGTTCCATGAATAGCACTAACTCAGACAAGGACACCCTTTCTAATTCAACTCTTGCTGTAAGTATGCTGAACTTTAACTCAATATCATTGAGCTTCAAAATTCTCTTTACATCTATGATTAATGAAAGATTCCAACATTTTTAAAAGATACGCATTTTTCAACAGGAACTTGTGAAAACTGTGAATAATTTTGTTCAAAAGGATACATTTATAGTCTGGGACAAGTTATCTACAACTCATAGAATAACTCATCTTACAAAGCTGATGCATGCTGTCGAACAAGCTACCTTATGGATTTCTAAAAACTTCCAAAAGACCACTCAGTTTGATACTAATTCAAGTGATGTAGGTAAGAAGCCAAGGTCAATTTCAAAGCAATGGTATTTTCCAAACAAGCCATTCTCAAAGGGAAAGAGACTATTTAAAACTAGAGGCCCAGTACACAAATTTGTGCATTGGTAAGGTCTCTTGGCCTGGCTGGCGATCAGGGTTCCTCGGGGCCATCTTGCACAGTCCCAATTGGGGCTGATGGTAGTTGGTTGGCCTGGGAGGGACTACAGGAGGTTGGCCAATTGGCTCCGATTGGGGCTGTTTTTTGTTTTGTTTAGTTTTGTTTGGGGGGGGGGGCAGCCGGCTGGGGAGGGACCTCAGAGCTTGTCTGGCCTTCTTGGTCAGTCTCAATTTGGTAGACCCTAGCAGCAAGCTAACTACTGATCAGAGCATCGACCCCCTGGTGGTCAGTGTGTGTTATAATGACTGGTGGAGTGGTTGACCAAACTGTCAACTGATCAGTCAGACACTTAGCATGTTACTCTTTTATTATATAGAATACTGTTGATTAAATAGGCATTTTTTTTCATATCAATGCAGAAAGAAATGGTGATGCATGTTATAAGAATGCCATGCATAAAGGATGAGTAAAAAGGGATGAATACATGAGCACTGCCTTATTCCCACAATCTTCACCTTTTCCTATTCCTGAACTGTTGAGCATTTAAATACACAAAGCATATTACTCCCTTGCCATTCTGAGTTCTTATTCTCATGACTGTTAGGATCTACCTTGACCTAATAGTAACAGAGAGATTCTCTGGATGTAGTATTTTTAAATTTCTTTTTAGAAATATTTTGCCTTTTGATAACTTTAAAGCAATCAATATAGTATATTAGAATGTTTCCTGCTTCATGCAGTCTTATACTTAAAACATTAGAAATCTTGGATCAAATTGAAGATGCTGATAACATATTTCAGAGGAAACAAGAGTACATGTCTACTATATATTGTGGGTGACCTCCTGCTGTGCAACATCAGGTTCATCAAGGTTCATCATTTACTCAAAATAAAGTAGCAACCATTGTGACTAATACATAGGAGAAAATATTTCTATGATGATCCTGCATGAAAAAGGCGAAAATACACCCATTAAGAAAAGTATCCTACAGGAATTTAGTTAGATCCCTCTCCATATTATATATTATAATACCATCCTCTATGACAGTGGTTCTCAACCTCTTTAATGCCACGTCCCTTTAATACAGTTCCTCATATTGTGGTGATCTCCAACCATAAAATGATTTTCATTGCTACTTCATAACTGTAATTTTGCTACTGTTAATGAATCATAATGTAAATATCTTTGTTTTCCGATGATCATAGGCTCTACAGTTGAGAACCGCTAGCAGGGTCACCTAAGACCATTGGAAAACATAGATATTTACACTACAATTCATTAACAGTAGCAAAATTACAGTTATGAAGTAGCAACAAAAATAATTTTAAGGTTGGTAGTCACCACAACATGAGGAACTGTATTAAAGGGGTGTGGCATTAGAAAGGTTGAGAACCACTGCTCTAAGATATTATAATTCTTATTCTTTGCTTTGGTAATTATGATATACTAGAGGCCTGGTGCATGAAATTTGTGCATTGAGGAAGAGGGGGCGGTCCCTCAGTCCAGCCTGCACCATCTCCAATCTGGGACCCCTTGGGGGATGTCCGACTGCTGGTTTAGGCCTGATTCAGGACAGCCGGCTTCTAACTGCTTACTTGCCTGCCTGCCTGATCACTCCTAACTGCCCCACCTGCCTGCCAGCCTAATTACTCCTAACTGCTTTTGCCTGCCAGCCTAATCGCCTCTAACTGCTTCTGCCTGCTGGCCTGATGCACCTACTGCCTCTGCCTGCCAGCCTGATTACCCCCTAACTGCTCGCCCCTGGAGGCCTGGTCACCCCTAACTGCCTCTGTCTCAGCCCCCACCACCATGGCTTTGTCAGAAAGGATGACTAGAAGACGCCTGGTCTAATTAGCATATTACCTTTTTATTAGTATAGATAGCTTCCCTGTATTCATATATGTTTTATCTTTTATTATTTTATTTAATAATGGTATATTTAAACTATGAGCATTATAGTAAATTTTAAAAAAATAACATTGAATCAGATAAATTATAATGTTCACACATGTTCAGAACAGGTTCATTCCATCTGTCATAAATAAGAAGTTGAAATATAATAACAATGGTTGAAATTATATCTAACTAAATATTAATTAAACTAATTTTAGAAAATTTATGACTTTTGTGCTTTTGTTTCAGCTCTCAAAACTTTCTTCTTTGATTCACATCACATGAAATATATTCATCCCAATATGAATGTGGATGGAGATTATATAAAGATATTTCCAAAGAGAAAAACTGCAGATAATACAGACGGTAGGACTTTGATAATCATATATACAATGACAGTGATTTGCAATAAATACTTATCATGGATTTGATGATATCATGTGTACATATAACATGTGTGGTTTTTCTATAGGCATTTGATGTTTAAAAACAGAATTTTCATATTTCTACTTAAGATTTTAATTCAGATATAAATACCTGGGAAGAATGTTAGCTGACAATATCCACACCCTTCTTGTCTTACTTCCAACCTCTGTAACTGTCTGATATTGAGATTCTAATGAAAATATTTTTAAAATGTGATTCTATTACTTGGTTTACAGCAGTCAATAAATGTTATAATTTGCATATAATTTTTAATATTTCTTCTTCAGTAATACTTTATATTCCTTATTGTGAGACGCAATTTGTGATTGTGTAAGAAAGGCAAATAATGTTCAAAAATACAGAAAGTAATTTTTAAACTTGGACCTTTTTCTCCACTTATCATTGCTTAGTCTTCAACTGAACTAAAGGCATTATTTCTTAAGGAATAGAATCACAGAATGCTAGACTAGAATGTAACTTAATAATTATCTAACCTAACTCCTTATTTCCCACAACATTTAATAGATTTGTTTCTAGGCATATTAACAGATAGTAGGGAACCAGCAATAGAAGAAAGGGATTTGAAGATTTCAGTCCTCGCCAGCTTTTCCTTACCCCTTAACCACAGACAACCTGTCAGCTGCTATTTTAAGTTAACTATTTACCTGCTCTCTAAGTGCAATGCACTTAGAAAAAAATATATGCCAATAGCAGAACAGTTGTGGTTGTTCTTCAAAAGATATTACCTATAAAACATGAACTATAATATTTTCTCAAGAATCTATGGGGTGGTCATAAATACATACGAAAAATATACTAGGTGCACCAGTTAATAATGCAGATTTTTTTCAATAGATGAAGTTACACATATGTTGATATATATATGTGATTCGATATGTATGCTCTTTTGTTGTATTCACAACAATCTTCAGAACTTTATATGTCAAATTTGCTGAAGGTGTTAACATCAGAGATAGTTTTACACTTAAAAATGTTGAATTTCATGCCAAAATAAAAGAGCATTTGCGGGAAGTTTTAATTCATTACTTTATTTTGAAGAAAAGTGCTGCTGAATACTTCGGGAAGTTTATTGTGAACATGCTCCATCTCAAGATACTTGTGAATGCTGATTTAAATGCTTTAAAAGTTATGATTTCAATGTAAAAGAAGAGAATGTTCCAAGTCAACCGAAAAAGTTTGAAGACCAATAATTAGAAGCATTATTGGATGAAGATGCGTGTCAAATTCAAAAACAACTTGCAGAAAGATTAAATGTTACTTAGGGAATAATTTCCTATAATTTACAAGCAATGGGAAAGATTTTAAAGGAAGGAAAACAAGTGCCACATCAACTGAACAAAAGACAAATAGGAAAGTGAAAAGTCATCAGTAAAATGTTGCTTCAACAGCATGGAAGTTTTTTTGCATGACTGGCGATGAAAAGTGGATTTATTTTGAGAATCCTACATGTACAAAATCATCATGGGTTGATCCAGGTCAACCATCAACATCGACCAACTGCAAAGCCAAATCACTTCAGAAAGAAGACAATGCTCTGTGTTTGGTGGGATCAGAAAGGTGTGGTGTGTTATGAGCTTCTAAAACCAGGTAAAACCATCAATACTGATCACTACTGACAACAAATAATCAATTTGAACCACGCTTTGATTGTGAAATGACCAGAATGTTCCAGAACACACAACAAAGTAATTTTGTTTCATGATAATGCATCGTCACACACTTCAAAACTAGTTAAAGACATGTTAAAAGATTTTGCCTGGGAAGTATTAACCCAATTGTTGTATTCAACAGACATTGCTCCTTCAGATGATCACTTGTTCTGATCAATGGCACGCACTTTCTGAGCAGCACTTCAAAACGTGCGAAGAAGTGGAAAATTGGGTCTCTGAATGGTTTGCCTCAAAACAAGAAAAGTTCTATTGGGACGTTATCCACAAATTACATAAAGATAGGGAAATGTGTAGCCAATAATGGACATTAGTTTGAATGAAGAACTTTTGATGTTTCTCTTGAAATTATTGTGACCTCTTTGATTACAAAATCTGCATTATTAACTGGTACACTTAGTATACAATAATACATTTGTTCTTCTCTGTTATAACCATCCTATATAATAAAAGGGATAATATGCAAATTGACAACAGAACAACTGGTTGCTGTACATGCATTGACCACCAGAGGGCATACACTCAATGTAGGATCTGCCTCCCACCCCTGTGGTCAATGAGCTCTTTCAGGGGGAGCTCCGCTCCGCTCAGCCACAAGCCTGGCTGACTGCTGCATGCAGCAGTGGTGGAGGGAGCCTCTCCTGCCTCCTCGGCAGCTCTAAGGATGTCCGACTGACGGGCCTAAGCTATCAGTTGGACATCCCCTGAGAGCTTCTAGGCCGTCAGAGGGATGTCTGACTGCCAGTTTAGGTCCCATCCCCTGGAGAGCAGGTTTACCAGTAAGCTGGCAGGTAGACATCCCCCCAAAACTCTCAGACTGCAAGAGGGTGCAGGCCAGGCTGAGGGACCCTACACCACCCCACCCCCCCAAGTGCACAAATCTCTAGTAGATTATAAAAATCCATCTTATATTTTTGGTGCTTCATTAGTTTCTGAACCATCTTCTACTATATCTACTCACTGTAGCATGAACTGGTTTATTAACTGAGCTAGGTTAGGTTGACCTAAAAGGTTTTCAGGTCCCACTTCCAGCTCTAGTCTATCCATCAAAAAGGCTGGGTTACTTATCATCTCTTTGAGTTATTATTATTTCACTATCCCAATCATGTTTTACTATACACACACACACACACACACACACACACACACACACACAATTTATTTGAATTTCAGCAAGGTTATCAATGTCTCTTATGATACTTTTAGGTTAAAATTAAAAAGATGAATGGCAATATACTTTGGCAGCTTCTTGCTCACATAACCATATCCAAAAAGTATTATTTAATAGTATGATATTGTGATGTGGAAAGTTCAAGATTTGTATAATATCCTTTGTTTTTATGATTTATTAACATTTGTATTTATAATTAATTTATGCTTTCTAAATTATTTGTCGGTGTCACAAGTATAAAGGAACTAATGAATATGGTAGAGTTTTTTCCTATGGTATGTTGCACAAATATATAAACATATAATGTCTCTAGTTAATAACAATAATCATAATAATATAATATATTAAATTTTACAGAAGACTCGCACATGTATTACTTCATTTGGTCTCTGCCTTATTTTAATAAATAGCTAGTATATTACTGCCATCATTTTAAGAGTGATAAAGCTAAAGGTTGAAGCAGTTAGTTACTTTATCAAGTAGGAGCAGTGACTGAAAGTAGAATTTCTGATTCTAGAGTACTGTCTAACTATAAAGTTCTATACGAAGCTTTCATATTTCTGTATAACAAATAAAGATATAATATTATCTAAGTTGAAACAAGAAGTTTGAAATATACTAGATCTAGATATTGAGTTGTTCATATTTAAAATCAGCAATAATAAACTGCTACAAAAAACAGGGCAATTTGAGTTCCATTAATAGAGGTGTAGTGTCTAGGCTAAAGGGAAAATAGTCACATGACAGTCTGTACTGATCAGGTTATATATCTAGTATTGGGTCATATGTTGATGCACTCTATTTGGGGGGCATCACAAGGTATTGGTCAATGGCTACTTTGAAAAACAATAAATGTCCAATCTTAAGACTGCATAACTATATGTCATCAATATTAAATAGAAGAAATTTTAGTAAGTATGAAGTTGAACTCTTACAACTCTTTTAATTAGAAACTTTCTTAATACTATACATCTCTGATAATTCTCTCCCAATCACTTTCTAACTCACATATTTACACAGCAAAGTAACAACTTAAAAATTTATCTTTTGAGTGAATATTCTTCACACCTTGGTTCTTAGGACTGGGATGTAAATTTATTTAGGACTATTTTTCTCTTAAATATAGTTTGTGCAGAAAAGAAGTTATAATCTGTAATCAGTTTCTGAGCCACAGAGGTGAGATAATATGTATTAATATGGTTTGGTGATGCAGGCATGTACTTAATAATGATTCACATTTCATTATCTGGGTATGTTTTTTTATTACTCCCAGGGTAAAAAAAAAAATTCAGTTATGTTTATTTTAACAGCTTAAAAATGTTTTTATTTTATAAAAACGTCACCGAATGCACTCATTTGATTTACAGGCAATGTTGCAGTTGCATTTTTATATTATAAGAGTATCGGTCCCTTGTTTTCATCATCTGACAACTTCTTTTTGGAACCTCAAAGTTATGATCATTCTGAAGAGGAGCAAAGAGTCATCTCTTCAATAATTTCCGTCTCAATTAGCTCAAACCCCCCCACATTGTATGAACTTGATAAAATAACATTTACATTAAGTCATATAAAGGTAAGTTGTTTTGCTGGTGACTATTGATTGTAATTGTGAAACATTCAAAGAAGTGGACATCTATATTGTGTCATTTTAATTATATGTGAGTTCTTGAGTATAAAAATACAGATTCAAAATTAAATATGTAAAGTGGTTACAACTAACTTTCTATATATTTTTATACTTTCAGTGTTCTTTAACTGTCTAATAAATACCCTTAAAAAACTAACATATTTTATTCTCCAAATTTAAGCTATATTTTAGTTTAAGTTTTAAAGACATATCATTCATTTTGAGAAGTCTCTGTACTTTGAGGGAATGAATTATAAAAATATAACACTGTCAAAGACATAAATATTACTTGTTTAATGAAGCTAATGTTTGGTTGGTAATTATCATTTAAAATAATGTTTGTGCAGATATAGTACTGATTAGAACAAAATCAAATGAAGTTTTTAATATTTCAAAACGAATTTGGCTGAGACCTTTTTACTCTGTTATTGTTATTCTAAATCTTTTTTCAAATTCATATATAATTGAGACAACACAATAAAAAATGATTAGAAATAACCAACTACCTAGTATTTTTATATAATTAAAATGAATCAGGAAACCCAAAGTCATAGGCTGTTTGCTGCTTTTTCACAGTTTTTGATCTTTCAGTAGAATTTCAGCCCTGGAACATGATTAAAGGACCACTAATCTCCATTTGGAGAGCCTTGAACTTGGCCAGTTCCACTGACATGTTTATGGGAGAGGGAAAGGACTAAAAGAATATATATGTTTGCCCACAATAAAAATGTGTCACTATAAATAAAGACATCCAATAAGGAGAGAAACTAAGTATAGGAAAGTGCAAGAAAATAGCTCATGCCTAAACATTGGTGGTATTATATTGAGGGAAATAAAAGGTGTGAAATGTTGTATGAACAGAAACTGAGCAGATATTTTTAGATGCTAAATGCAAACAACCCTTTTGACACCAGAAACCAAACACTATTCTTTTAAATAGTCTGACGTTTTCTCTATAGTTTTGTTGGAGGAATGCTTTGGCAGGTGAAAAGATGGGACAACCTACTTCAATCTCTTTGCCACAGCAACAAAACACATCACACATTTCAACAAAAATTCTCCATTATAATTAATAGAAAATTTTTTTTGTTCTCATTTGCCACTCTGATCAAACTATCTCAAAGTAATTATCATAATGAAATTTCATCACTTTTCTCTGATCACACACCTACCTATCCATGGTTCCTTGTATCTAATAATAAAATGTTGATCCTATTTTTTTCTAAGAAAGTACAAGTTATGCATAGCACCTTCGGTTTCCTGATTTCCTGAAAGTTTACTCACAACTTTACCAATATATATATATATATATATATATATATATATATATATATATATATATATATTTTTAAATTTACCTTCTATTATATATATATATATATATATATATATATATATATATATATTTATAATTTATAAATATAAAAGGCTAATATTCAAAGTGTCTCCTTGAGAGATCGAATGGGAGATGGGGATTTTGATTGCTTGCTATGATGTGTTCTGACCACCAGGGGGGCAGCATAAAACATGGGAGGTGACCAGTGGGGGGGATGGGGTGGGGGGGACACTGAGGGAGTGAGAGAAGGAGAAGGAGGAGGGGCCTGATGGGTCCTAATTGCTGGCTAGGCCTAGGGACCCTACCCATGCATGAATTTCCTGCACTGGGCCTCTAGTTAGTATTTACGTCTTTGTTGCTTCAGAGGAATATTAGTAATAGTTGTCATAAAAATATTATCCTTAGTCTAAGTTACTTTTTAAATAACTCAGTTAATGCTTACAATAGTCCTGTGAGATATGTACTATTATCTCCAATTTGTGTATAAGAAACTGAAACTCTGAGAGATTAAATAACTTACTTGTGGTCACTCAATAACCAATCTGGGACCCCTTGAGGGATGCCCAACTGCTTGTTAAATAGACAGTTGGACATCCTTTTCAAAATCCAGGACTGCTGGTTCCCAACTGCTCGGCTGCCTGCCTTCCTGATTGCCCCTAACCGCTTCTGCCTGCCAGCCTGATCACCCGTAACCACTCTCCTGCTAGCCTGATTGATACCTAAGTGCTCTCCTGACAGCCTATTTGTCCCTAACTGCCCTCTCTTGCGGCCTAGTCACCTCTAACTGCCCTCCCCTGTAGGCCTGGTCTCTCCCAACTGCTCTCCCCTGCAGGCCTGGTCACCCCCAATTTCCCTCCTTTGCAAGCATGGTCCCTCCCAACAGTCCTCCCCTGCTGGCCATCTTGTGGTGGCCATCTTGTGTGCACATGGGGGCAGGATCTTTGACCACATGGGGGCAGCCATCTTGTGTGTTGGAGTGATGGTCAATCTGCATATTACTCTTTTATTAAATAGAATAGAGGCCTAGTGCATTAGGTGGGAGCCAGCTGGTTTACCCTAAAGGGTGTCCCACATCAGGATGGGGGTTTCCTTGGGATGTGGGATGGCCTGGATGAGGGGCCTGTGGTGATTTGCAGGCTGCCCATGCCACCTAGTGACCCAAGCAAAGGCCCTGGTATCTGTGATTTATTTATTATCTACGATTGAAACTTTGTAGCCTGAAGAAGAGCCAAGCCTTCTGCTTACTCTGTGGTGGCAACCATTTCTGTTGGGATTTATTTACCTTCTATAATTGACACTTTGTAGCCTTAAGCAGAGGCCTGGGCCAGCAAGGGCAGGCGGAAAGCTTGGCTTCCTCCATCTCTAGAAAAACCCAAGCCTCCCTCTTGCTCTCCGTGGCCTCAGTCATCTTAGTTGGGTTTATTTGCATATTTGCTCCTGATTGGCTTGTAGGTGTGACTTGTGGAGGTATGGTCAATTTGCATATTACTCTTTTATTAGATAGGATATATTGGTATTTTAAAGATTACAAAGTGATGCCATACGTGTAACTTTTTCTCTTTTTTCCATCAGTAAAATGTCTCTTTTTCAGACCACAGATAAGTACAGGAGTCAATGTGCATTTTGGAACTACTCCCCTGACACCATGAATGGCAGCTGGTCCTTAGAGGGCTGTGAGCTAACGTACTCCAATGAGACCCACACTTCTTGCAGCTGTAATCATCTGACACATTTTGCCATTTTGATGTCTTCTGGTACTTCCATTGTAAGGCAATTTCCTACTTCCTATTTATAAGTCACCATGTATTCTTTTTGTGTCATTTCAGAGAGTAATTATATATTTTTTTCTTTGGGTGAAAATAACGTTTCATTAATGGATGAAACTCCAACATTATCTTTTTATAGTCTTTGCTTCTGTTTTTCTCACCTGCCTTCTATGACATATCTACACTGAATTTTAGCTTATTTTTAGTCTAGGATTTACCTGGTCTATAAATATGTAGTGGATTGTGTACTAATAGTAATGCATTGACTCTTTGTTTACAATTGTCCCTTTAAAGGTCATTATACATTCTGAAGTATACTGGAGTTCAAGGATTTTTGGCTTTGTATCTAAAGTTTATTCCTAAAATAAAATTTAGTAAAAAATATTTGATACCTGGTCAATAAGAATTAGCACATTCATAGCTAATACCATGTTTTAATAGAATCTTACAAGATTTTGAAACATGAAAAATCTCTCTAAGGTGAATAGCTTTAGAATGTGTATATTACATCAGTAATATCTTGCATTTATGTTATATAATATTTATTTTATATATCTGTTTGATAATCTTAGTCATTTTCACATAAACATATACAAAAAAATCTTCCTAACCATAATACCAGTCATAAAGTTGCTTTATTTTCCTGAATGTTAAGTAAGTAAAGAAATTTCTATTCTGTATATAAAATATTAATACTTATCTAGTTATAATAAAACCAAACTTACTCATTTTAAAATCTCTCAACTACACTTGTTCGACACTATATGTTCAGCATTTCTAACACCTTTGTTAATGTGTTTTAGATGAATTGCTGCATAGAAATAAGAATTAGTCTTACCACTGATAAATCTGTTTAAATTAACCATGTTCACATTACAATAATGAATTACTATTCTAATATCATGAAACTGATGATTATAACAGTATTAAACCATATACTAATATATATACTATGCCTAGAAAAAAATTCACTAATTATAGAACTGTTAAAGTGCCTCATGATTTATAGCACATTCCTCTGAATACTGAGCATTTTCAAGTCATCTAAATGCACATGTGTATTTTTACAGTTTATGGATATTTTGATTAATGTTTCACCAAAAATGAAAGTTTGTTATATGGTATAGTTCCTTTGACAAGCTACTGAGTTATTCTCTTAACAGTTTTATTATTATTTTCCCTTAGGGTATCAAAGATTATAATATTCTTACAAGGATCACTCAACTAGGAATAATTATTTCTCTGATTTGCCTGTCCATATGCATTTTTACCTTCTGGTTCTTTAGTGAAATTCAGAGCACCAGGACAACAATTCACAAAAATCTCTGCTGTAACCTATTCCTTGCTGAACTTGTTTTTCTAGTTGGGATCAATACAAATTCTAATAAGGTATGTAGATCTCGTTTACTCTCTATTTTTATTTTCTAAATGTGTAGTTTCCTAAGTATTTATGTCATAGAAATATGACTTATAATTAAGGGTTTAGTGTGGAAACACCATATATACTTTGTTCTTAAGTCTTTTCTAAGTTTAATGATGCTAACATATCTAAGCAATTTGTCTATCAATTCCATTAACTAAAATGTCCTTCCTTATGAGAAACTATTGAGGCAAATGAAAACTTAGCAAAAATATTTTGATTTTACATGGGCATTAAACAAAGGCAGGAGGAGAGAACTGGAAATAAAATTTATCTTAATACAACATAAAAGCAGCGATTCATAGGTTAAAATATGATATATCGGATCTACCTAGTTACTACGCTTTATTAATTACCCACTACCCATTTTCACCATTATTGACCGAGGGCCTTATAAAATAATTTTCCATATTGTGTTTAGTCTGGGTCCTCCTTGAAAAAGACACTAAAATGGAATTAAACATGCAATGCTTTTATTAGATGAAATGACTATGAAAGAAAATAAGAGAAAGACTTGGAGAGCCATCAGACTAAGATACAGGTCTGATCCCAAATGAAGAAGAAAGGAAAGCAAGAGGGGTGGGTAGAAGCCTTTTACCCAGCAGTGCAGTTGTTGTTGTTGTTGTTGTTGTTGTTGTTCTTCTTCTTCTTCTTCTTCTTCTTCTTCTTCTTCTTCTTCTTCTTCTTCTTCTTCTATTTCTTCAACAACTTATCTAGTAATTTAATGCTAGAAATGAATTTCAGTTTCCTTTTTTTAGTTGTGTCCCATACCCAGCAGTACATTCTAAAAAAAGTTCAGCATGGTTGTTCAGGACTCCTTTCAGAAGACCTTGAGCCAAAGTTACATGACAAAGAATCCTCTGTCTCAGAAAACAGGACCATCTTAAAAGCCTGCAGTGTCAGGTCAGAGAATGGCAGCAGGCCACGGCCACATAGGCACTGCAGTGGTTTTCCTAGGAGCCTCAGGGCAGTTGCTCTTCTTGCAGGTGGACACTGGAGAAGGGCATTGTCATGGCCATGGGGCCAGCTGCTCTTCCTGCAGGGAGCCTGGATAAGTGCATTGTCATGCCAAGGAATATGAAATTGCCTCCATTTCTCCATTGTTTCTAGAAATATTTCAAGTATTAAACTAATCACTGGCTATCCAGGTTTTCTTCTGAAGTAGATGTGGCAAAGCATCTATGTTACATAATATACATTATACATGTCTAGCGTTTGTTTATTTGTTTGTTTTGCAGTGGTAGTCAGGACACCTCTCAATTTTATATATCTACTTTACATATTTATTCTTATAAAGTGGTTCTTTTTCATTGTATTTTATCTCACAAATTCTTTCCATTTTCAAGCCATATTTCATATTTCATGCCCTCACTAAAGTGGTTCCCAAATTTTCATCACCACTGGTATCTGTTCCCAACCTTACATAGTACTCTCCAATGTATTTTACTATGCAATCTTACTTATGCTTGAATTATACTGTTTTAATGAATGCAATCTCTCTCTATATAAAAGCCTAAGTGACCAAATGACCAAACAACCTTTTGGCTGGTTGCTATGATGCACACTGACCACCAGGGGGCAGATGCTCAATGTAGGCTCTGCCCTCTGGTGGTCAGTGCCCTCCCACAATGTGAGCACTTCTCAGCTGGTGGATGCCAGACATCGGGCTAACAGCTGGTGATCCCAGCTGCGGCAGTGGCAGGTGCAATGGGCCAGGATGAGTGGAAGCAGTGTGGCTCCTGGCCCAGGCTCAGGTTCCTCCCTGGACACCTGCTGTACTACTAAATCCCCAAAGGATTTCCAGATTGCAACAAGGCGCAGGCCAGGCTGTGAGACCCCACCAGTGCATGCATCTGTGCATGGGCCTCTAGTAGATATATAAATATGCATTATGTTATCACTCCTGTAACAGATTGTATTAGTTCTATTAACACAGAAGTTGTGTAGCTACTTCTTTTGTTATTTCCATAAGCCTGGCTCCAATAATAAATATGAAGTAATTACTAATACATAATATTTAACTGAAATCATCTCAAATTTGCCTGGCAGTCTTGTAACTTAAAGTGATTCTTCAATGGATATTTTGTAAAATATGTCATCATTTGTTTTACAAGTTCAGTGTTTGACTCTTAATCAAGATATTGTGGCTTAGAGTTAGCATAGTGTTAGAAATAATTTGTGTCCTTTGAGCCTGAATAAAATAGAGTGAAAGCATCTTCAAAACAGAAATCAACTTAAATCATAATATATTCACTAAGATATCATAGCTTACATGTGAGTACAAGTTATCATTTTTCACATTATCTAAGTATGTAACTAACTCTCTGGACAAAGAGAGTAACTTAATTCTATCATAGAGTTGGTGAGTATTTACATTGGTGAAGCACCAGATCTTTCAAGTCAGATGTAAGTGGGACATCTTAAAAAGCTGACACTTGCCAGGAATATTTTAATAGGATCAGGCATTATAAAAAGTGGTTTACAGAGAAAGTCAAGATTTTGTGATAGGGTAATGTTTAAGCAAACATTGCTTATGTGCCTTTTTCTTTTTTCTTTTTTCGGTTTATAGCTCTTTTGTTCGATCATTGCTGGTCTGCTGCATTACTTCTTTTTAGCTGCCTTTGCATGGATGTGTATTGAAGGCATCCATCTCTACCTAATTGTTGTCGGAGTTATCTACAACAAGGGATTTCTGCACAAGAATTTTTATATCTTTGGCTATCTCAGCCCAGCTGTGGTGGTTGGATTTTCAGCATCATTAGGATATAGATACTATGGCACCACCAAAGTGTAAGTTAAGATCATCTTAAAGGATTTGAAATACAATTCTGAATATGCTTTGTATATCACTGAAATTTTTGTTTTGTTAAAGTATATACAATCACATTCATAGATGTTTATCTATTATTTACTTTTCAGGTGTTGGCTTAGTACAGAAAACAACTTTATTTGGAGTTTTATAGGACCAGCATGTCTAATCATCCTTGTACGTATATTTAAAATTTATAGCTAGAGGTGTTTTTTTAAAATAAAAAAAAAGTGATAAAGAGGGCTTAAATTTTTCAGCCATTAGGCCTTATTCTGAGGGAGATAAATGATTTTTAGCATGTTAAGTATATCCTTTATTAACATTTAAATATATTGTATCCCTACAAGAAAAATATATATGTATCTTAAATTCAAATCTATTACAATCATTTACCCCTTCTGGGGGAGGATGTATTTCTGCATAACATATAGAAAAAAACATTTCCCGCTTATCAGTAGTATCTTAGCATACTTCAATACCTAGAATGTTCCAACCAGCCAATAATATGGCATTTCACATGTGTTTGTTACTTTATATTTTATCAATGATCAGTGAACTTTGAAGATTAGACTGTCATCTTTATAGTGTTATCATCCTGTGTACCCTGTTATCATGAAAGTGGTTTTACGCTAAATTGTGACATCTGAGGAAAGAACCCTCTATTTCTCATGAGCAGACAAGTCACACTGATAGTCCTTTTTCAGCTAGAAAGAGGGCCTTTTAATTCTTATCGGAAGTGGTTTCAAACCTACAAATGTGGCAGGTGTTATATGTTCCATTCTAAATAAAAACATTTTTATATGTCTCAGGAGCATTTTAAGGGCTGTAAGTTTCCAAAGCCATTCTGAATATAATAGTCTGTCAATGAATCTGGGAGGTCAGGCAAGGTTCCAGGATGAAATGAATTGTCGGTGGAGGAGTTATGACCATATTTTGGACAACTTTGTCCCGCATGTTTTGACCATAAACTAACTAGCTATTTTTTAAAAATGTTTTCCCTCTCACTATTTCCCCATGTGTTTTCATTGTTATGAGGAAGCTGCTAAGTGGAGAAGACTTGATATACAAAGCAGAGAATTTCCATCAAGGGTTATTTTTTAATGATGTGGGTGAAATAAAATGCATTAAGACACTACATTTTTTTTCATTGTCACATAAAATTGTTTACCATTTCAACAACAAATCTAGTAATATAAAAAGAAACCATGACTAGATTCTAGCAAAAATTATTTCAGTTAGTGTATTATAGTGTCCCATTCACATATTTTCATATGTCATCCTGACATGAGTATTTTGTGTGAAAACGTGCTGTATGTCTAATTTTACCGAATTTCTTACAGAATGGACTATCTCTGACATTTTTTTTCATATAAGTGAAAGTTCTGTGGATCAGTGATTCTTGTAGTTGAGATGAAAAGTAGAAAGTTAGAAAGTGTACTGAAAACAGGAAAAATAGCAGCCTATCTAAAGTAAATAAGAGGAAGTGTTCCCTGAATATTTTTTTCTTTTTCTTATATAAAAGAAAAAAACTGAATATTGTTTTATAGTAAAGTCCACAGACTTTAGATGGGCTTATCTAAAAATGAGTCTTGCAAAATTTCTCAGAAACCTAAATGAACAACATCACACTGTCCTTCTTTGGAATTAATGAACCAATTTATCTTTCATACAGTTTCAATGTGTAATTGTTCCTTTCAATCAGAGGGCCAACCTACTTAAGAAATGTACGAGGCAACTCAGTGTTACTCTAACATTGTTTATCATTTGTATTATCTTTAAAAACTGCAGAAATTCCTTAAATAATCACTGGATCGAAGTGAATTCATTCACTCCAGTTATTCCTGACTTTCTGTGCTAATGATGGCTTTTTTCATTCTCATTTTTCTCTTCTTCGTTATGTTACTATTACTAGTACTACTGCTATTATACTGCTGTATAACAAAAAAAGTTAGGTGACACTTTTCTCACAGCCCTGAAACAATTTTCAGTCCAAAGATTAAAGAAAAGAAATATTGAGTGCCAGACATTTGGAAAAGAGCCACCAGCAGGTTGGGTGGGTTCCCATGGGTCTTACAGAGAGACTGTAGGAGCACCTCTAGCCCAGTAACGGGACTGGAGAGAGGGCCAGGATAGTGGCTCAGAGTTAGGAGTCCTTGGCCTTTGGGAGAGTATAATATTCTGTATGAAAAAGTTTTCTCTGCCTGTGAGAAGAAAGTTAGGTGCTCCCTTTCTCCTAACATTCAAAAGGTTTGGAGAAAATGGAATCAGAAATAGTAAAACTATCACCCTGATCACACATGGAATGCTAGTGTGACTGGAATTTTCATGATGAGCACATTTTTTTTTCTTTATCGGAGCCTGACCTTTGTCCCTTGACAGTGGTCCAAAGGTGAATAGAAAGACCAGGTTTGCTTTCATTTGGAGTTTCCTGCAAGCTGCATGCTTACTGGAGTTTCCCTTGACAGCAGGGAAGGGTAGGATTATTATATAGCCTGCCCAGGAATAAAATGATGGGGAACACTCAAAGCTATTAACTGTTCCATACTGCACAGAAAAGTTAGAGAAGTGGAGAGAAGCTGTAGGGCTGCCCGGAAGGTTGCCAGATCAAGTGAAGTTATGTACAACTAAAAGAATGGGTTGAATAGAGGTGAGGTTAAATGGTGATGTGGCTGCTCTTCCCTGAAGAATAGGAGCCACGACGTAAAGGAAATACTATAAACATCAAGACAATCACATTTACTAAGTGGAGGTCATCACATAAGCCAATATGTCCAGTAGTAATACGAACCAAAATAAACCAGAGTGATGCCATGAAGCTTCCTCCATCACCAAGAGGTGATTAGAACCTTCTAGCCCTCAAACGCAGAGGAGTTGAGCTTTGCTAATAAAGAAACAGTATGCTGCCTCCACAATCATCTATACATATCTACTTCTTGAAAATCACCTACACTAATACAAGAGAAAGATGCAAATTGACCATACCTTCATGACACCCACCAGCCAATCAGGAGCAAGCATACCAATTAACCCAACAAAAAAGTGGTGGGTTAATTTGCATATGCAGGCGCTGAGCACTCTGGGCAGTGTGGGAAGGTGGAAAGGCAGCTCTGGGCGAGGCGAAGGTGGTGCCGGCCGCCAGAGGAAGGAAGGCCCATTCTTGCATGAATCTTAGTGCATCAGGCCTCTATAGTCATTCTATGACTGGGAATATTCTAGTAGGCAAGGCTGTAAAGCCCTATCATTAAGTTTACCATGTTACTTGGGTGGTGTGGATATGATGGGAAAACAAAACAAATATACATTATCCCAAATCACTAGTATTAATGAGGAGAAAACAAAACAAATGATAAAGAAAAATATATTATGAAATATAAGTGATACTGATTAGATATGGAAAAGAATTAAATGGGTTATAATAATCATTCAAGAAAGCTTCATTGAGAGGGCGGGACTTGTTTGTGTATGGGGAAAGAAGCAGATTCTGCTTCACATGCAATAGATTCTAGGTGTGGACTTAAGTGTCTACCAAGCCACTTGTATACTTGCCAGATTTCCTTTTAAAGAAAAGCAAAGGGCACAAACAAAATAGTAACTATTGTAAATAAAACAATATTATACAAAACAAAATTATCATCTATGTTATTAAAAATATTCAAAAATCATATTTCATCACTCCCTTGGTATAGATGTCAAAGTAACATTTATCAAAATTTTACCTTCATAAATGTACCTGTACCTATTTCTTTTCTATTTTCATAGTCAAACCCTTGTTATTCTTTATTAAGATTGTAATATTACTAATAGAATTTTTAAATGTGTAATTTTTTGAGCAGCAATTGCTTTTGAAACACACAGCTTATACGTTAATACTCTCCTTAAATCACCCCCATTATTATCCAATTTTATAGTTAACAAAAAATAGGATTTGATTCAAATGTTAATTCATTGGTCCAAGGTTCTAAGTCTACAGATAATATTGATGTTAGAACATAAAATTTTCTGTCTTAATCGAAAGCCCACCTTTTCATTTTTGCTTCTTTTGCAATTGTCATCTAACCTATCTTTCTGCTGCCATTCTCTCCCATTTGTTCAATCTGTCTATAATAGACTCAGATAATGGGGACTATTAAAAAAAAAATAAGAACGCTAATGCTAAATCTTAATGTATTTCTGGCATTAATGTAAATATCCTCCAAGTGTTAGTACATTCATTCTAATCATTCGAACAACTCAAAATGGCTGTGTGTGTATGTGGACACACACACCATATTTATTTTATTTTGAAGTTGGATAGATCGAGGCATAGAGTGATGCATATTTTTACCCAACAGCTAGTAATTACCTGAGCTGGAACTCACATTCATGACACTTAATCTATGGTCTATCTTCTTAATCCAGTTCTGATAGTTTTTTTGTGTTTTTTTGTGTGTGTTTTTTTGCCAATATACCAAATGCCAAAGACTGATACATAAAAATCTCAGAAACCTAGCTGAACCTTGACTATTTTCAGACTTTGTATATCCCCCCCAAAACAACTCCTCCAAGAACGTTATGCTCCTTAGAATAGTTCTATTCCTTAAATATTTTGGGGGACTTTTGCAATCAATAATCCTGCTACTTCCTGAAAAAAACATTTCTGCCTAATATTTTATCATTAATTAATACACAACTTGGTGAAAACCTTTCCAGGTTTATAACTAATCTACAGAGTAAGGAGTAGGTAATATTTGCTTGCTTTTATGAACGAAGCACTGGGGCATGTCTGTTTGGGATCCAATATAATAAAAGGCTAATATGCAAATTGACCGAACAGCAAATGACTGATCAGTATGACACACACTGACCACCCGGGGGGCACACACCCCCTGGTGATCAGTGCACTCCCACAGGGGGAGTCCCACTCAGCCAAAAGCTATGCTCACTCTGGCGAGCACAGTGGCGGAAGTGCTAAGAATGTCAGACTTCTGGCTTAGGCCCACTCCTCACAGGGAGCACTTAAGCTATCATTGGACATTCCTGGAGGGCTCCCAGACTGTGAGAGGGTGCAGGCCTGGCTGAGGGACCCCCCACCCTGAGTGCACAAATTTCGTGCACCTGGCCTCTGGTTATAAAATGCCTTTTAAACAATATGTGAACTAGTAAAAACTGTTAGTTCAGCACTGACAGTTTTTTCTACC